GCAAACCAAAGAAATGAACATGTGAGTACCAAAACATTTGCAACTTCAACCATTTTCTGAGAGAAAGGTTGCATTTTCTGACAGAATTGCAGGGGTGTCAATATTTTTGGGCATGACTGTATATATGCTGAAATTGAATGGAATCTGTCGTAATGCTAAATTGCTGCTGGTTAAGGAGTTAACCCTTGTGTTCTTCATCATGTGTCAGTTGTGTAACTTGCCACATGACAAGGAATATAACCTAAACTAGTGACAGCTCACCTCTGCAGCTGATGCCTTTTGACTTACTCCAGTGTACAAAAGTGGAAATATTCTGGCTGGTGTTCATTCTTTTGAAACACACGTGAGAAATTTTGTGCACTAAGGAATTCCTCTTCTGGATTTCCGCTAGCTCCTGATCGCCGTTCCCTTTTTTTTCTTTTCCTTTTGGGTATGTGTGTGTGTCTGTTTTGATTACAGCTGCTAATAATAATCCCAAGTGCTCTATACAAGCAGTGGACTCACTAGCTTTTTTCTTTCTCTAGCTTCCTTTAGCTTGCTTGTTATTTGGAAGTCCAATATAGATTTTATTTTTTTTGTTAAGACATCTTTTATCTTTTCAGGCCTTGGCAGATCTGGTCTATTCACATCTCCAGTCAAATAAAATATGTTCTACGCAGTTAACGCTCAGCTGCCCATTGTGTGTGAATCCCACTTGCCGAAAGGCAAAAGCATTCTTTACCAGTCAAGAGTTGTGAAGGTGTATCTGCAGAGAAGTGGACTCGAGGCCTCTGTGGAGCAACCCCCGTGGATCCTGCAAAGCGTGCTGACAGCTTCTGCTTTCCTCGGCCCTTTGGTCCATCTGACATACAGTGTTTTGCCTTCTGTGTGGAAGTGGATCCCAAGTGGCATTTGCACTGGCATGAAAGAGGGACGGACTTGAAACCTTTCTTCTTTCCTTTGTTCCCTTCCTCTTTCGTTCTTTTACCAAAGGCTCTCATATTGGGAGGGAAGTTGCATTTCAAGGGCTTCATCCTTTGGGTTGCTGAGAACACTTGTCTTCCTATAAAACTGATAGGCATTCGGGGGCTCTTAGCACCCCACAGTATCAAGCCTACTTCAGGTGCTGAACCATAAGCAAAAGGCTTAGGACAGGCTCCTCACTGTGAACTGCAAATACTGGAGTAAGATCTGGCTCCGTCACTGATTCAGCAATGACATTGAATAGCCGGTGAGTAAATTAGGAACTGGTGCCTCCTTTCAAGAGCTTTTGGTCTTACTCCAGAGATTTGGGTCTTCGGGTGGCAGTCTTGACCTCTTCGCAGAAAGCTCTTGAATGTCGGACCTTGGAAAGGTTACTTTTCCAGACTGAACTATCCCTAGTCCTTCAGTTACCATGAACAATGATGATGGAATTTTGGGACTCATTATCTAAAATCTCTCCAAGCTCTGCTTAAATATGCATTCGTCATTTTAAAAATTCATGTCAGTCCTTCCATGTAAGAGATTTACTACTTTTGTGGGTTTTTTTTAAACTGAGCACTGTCGCTAACACACTTGACTAGCCTGCTGCTCATATTTTTTTTTCCAAAATGGAGTTTGATGATCAAGTCATATCAGGTTGTTTTTAAACTAAGCTTTTCTTTATAAATGAGAAATTACTTTTTGTGGGAGGGGGTTGTCTTCTCCTTTCCACAGTGCAGAACAACTTAGCAAGGCTCTGTTTCCTTGGACCACAAAGTACTCCAAACTATATTTACATAATTTGATTTGTTTGAAAGTTCAGTTATTATAGCGTTTGTATGAAGGAAAGGTTTGTTGGGAAGTGCACTATGGAAAGGAAGTGCTGTGCCTTCTGATTTGTAGCTGAAGTTGTTTGGATGAACATCAAGGATGAGGCTCATGGAGATGCTTTCAGTCATGCAGGAGGCTAGTTCATCCCCGTGAGGAATGGTTGGTCATCCAGATGTTTTGCAGTTCACCTCTCAGGAGCTCTAATTAGTGTGGCTTATGGTAAAGGATGCATCCGGGCCCTCAAAATTTCTCTGCCACTGTTGGCCCTGTGAATTGAGATTAATCTTAGCATCTTCTGAGACGACTTGACAAGACCTGTGAACAGGTTGTATGGATCACTGTTTAATATGGAAGCCTTCCATGTATATATGTTGCAGTAGTTGTGCATCAATCAAGTAATTTTCATAAACACTAGTGATTGTACTGTTACACAAGAAAAGATGGAAGCATGTGTAGATTGACATCGCTGGGGAATGCGGCCCATTAAAAATGGGTAATTAGAGAAAGGAAATCAACCAGAGAGGTCTTCAGTGTATAGTTTTCTTGTAACCACTCTTATGTTACTCTGAGAAAAAGCATAGTCCCCACGAGAGGAGAATGTGCATGGTGAACATACAGTCTGATGAACATTATTCATTTTTACATCTTATGTGTTATTTGAAGACTATGCATATGATCTGGGGACTGTGAAAAGACTCTTCTATGCCACCTGTAAACATTCCCAATGATAATGTTTAGTTACAATCATGAGTGTTTATGCACTTAACTGCAAATGTATATGTCTATGTTTGTTGGAGGGGGTTTGCGATCTTTACAACTAACTGGACCTGTCCAGAAATGGTGGCTCACCTTATGAGACTGCTTGTGTTTGAGAATGTGTCCCTTTTCTAGGGATGATCTGTAAGCAAGGTGTCAGATTTGGTAAATGTTGGCATTTTATTGGTAGTTCTAGAGATTTTAGGAGGCCCAGTGGTAAGTGCCTGAAATGCTTTTGAGATTTTATACTAGGTGAGTGATAGAACGAAGGATGAGATTTGAGCATTTGGATAGTAGGGCACTTTGAGATTTGCTGGTAAATGTCAAGATTTACTATAGTTCTATCATTCTCTTAAATTCTAAGAATCACCAGTACAGTATAAGTAAATACATTTGTTGAATGTTTGACACTTAACTACAATATGTACAGCCGACCTATCAGTGAAAGTTGCTTAAGAAGCAGACCCACTAATGTCAACTGTTTCAATGAAGTAGCTGTGCAGAGCAAATAAAAATGTAGATCAGTTGTTATATTTCTGTGTGAGTGTTCACAGGTCAAGTGTCTGAGGAAGTGGACATAATCCATGAAAGTTAACTTGAAAATGTAGCAGTCTTTAAGGTGCGACTACATTAAAAATATATATATTTTTTGCTTTTATCTGGATATATTTTGGAACTGACAGTTGTCACGGCGCACAATGCAGCTGCGAGGGGTCTCGTCCCTGTGACCAGCATTCTGTTCCTCATGAAGAGCTTCCTTCACTTTTGAACAAGTGAGAATATGAGGCTCCTCTACAGAGCTGCTTTATAGATCTGCTTATTGCTTTTCCAGCTGTCAAGCCACTATGGTTTTTGTGGGATTTCTTTGGCTGCAAATTGATTTAGATTTAATTCCTGTTGTCAATTAAACCTCAGATGATCTATTAAGAGTTTTCTTGCCTTGTTTCTTTAAACTCATGGTGACCGCATGGAACAATCTGTTTGCAAGCAGAAAAAGTTATTAGTGTCCTGAATTGGGATAAAGACTCTGTGTGTCCGTGCATTATAGAATTATTATAGAATTAGGAATGAGGTGGAGAGTGGAAGACTGGAAATAGAAGACTGGTGCTGTTTATGTCATTTTGTCAGCAAAAGTTTGCTTTGAAATGGGGTGAGCCTTTCACTCGCCAGATGTTGATGGCCCACAGCTCACATCATCCCTCAACTTTGGCCAAGCTGGCTAAGGCTGATGGAGTCCAACGGCATCTGGAAGACCACAGATCTCCCACTCTCCTTTAGAAAGAGATGAGGAATGAGAAGATTAAACCCTTGATTGGTTCCACCCATGTGGCCTTATTCTTAGTTTCCACGGCCTCTAGAATTCATGCTTAAAGCAGCCACTTTTGTCCAGTTCTTAACTAGGAACTCTGCATGCCTGAAACACTGTTTTTCCTCAATCGCTGCTTTTCCTCTGCATTCTGTATATCAGAATTCCTTACAGGGATGTACATATTCCTCAGTGTAGTGTCCACAAAGAGCTTTGGAAATTTACCAAAAGTTAGGTAGATTATAATACTATAATAATATGGTATAAAGTAATAATATGGTATTGAAGTTGGAAGGGGACCAAGTGTGGTGTAGTCATAGAATCATAGAAATCATAGAAAAGTGAAGTTGGAAGGGGCCTACAAGGCCATCAAGTCCCACACCCTACTCAACGCATGAATATAATCAAAACATATCTGCCAGGTGATTAAGTTTTTCTTGAATGCCTCCAGTGTTGCAGCACTCATCAACTCCCGAGGTAACTGGTTCCGCTGTCGTACTGCTCTATAGAGTGATGGACTAAGACTCTGTAGAACAGGGACTGAATCCCCACTCAGCCATGGAAACTGACCTGTGGAGTAGAACTAGTAAAACCACTTCTTAAATATCTCACTTACCTTGAAAGCCCTATTAGGATTGCTATAAATTAGTTTCCACTTGATGTCACATAACAAGATCAAAGTATTATTGTTAATATGGTCAACCTTACTTCTCTGTCACTTCTGTTTCGGGCAGTTGTAGTCCAGGTGCTAGGTTTGGCCCAGTAATTGTCAGCCAGGTCCCTCCCACAAATTGTGACTAAGGCACTTCACACTTCAAAAAATATCTAATTTTTCTGCGCACTGTTTCTCTCCTTTGTGCATCTTTTCCAACTGTACACATGTTGAGCTGTTCAAATTTTAAAAAAATTGAAGTGACCTTTTGCATTCATTTTATTCTTCTGAAACTCCCTGCAAGCAGATGGGTGTATTTTTGGGACAACGTCCACTTCATGTCAAACAGGTCTTGGAAGTGCAAAACAGATACTTCTATTGAGAATTTAAAGTGCAACGAAACTATTTTTAGTCCCTCTTTCTCTGCTTGTAATTTTAGCTTGACAGAGAAATCAAGCAGATGTAAAGTTTTAGCCAGTACTAAATGTAAATGCTAAAGGCTTTCTCTACCTGGAGTCAGTTGTCAAAATTGAGGAGATCAGAAGACCAGCTTAGAAGGGTAGCCATGAAGGAACTAGAAAAGATCTTAAAGTGTAAAAATGAGTCACTGGAGGTAAAGGCCAAGATCATCTCTGATCACTGTGTTGGAATGTCATAGCTGAACAGTGAAGAGAGCTGAGAGGGAAAAAAAGTAATTCATTCAATATGTGGTGTTGAAGGAAAGTTTCACAGATACCTTGGATCACCAGAAAAAATAAGTGTGTTCGAGATCAGCTGGCTGGCTGGTTCAGTGCTTTAGGATACCTAGTTACAGAGTCGGGGAGGTTGATTCTCCATTGTGGAAAAGAGCCAGCCTTTGTGGCCTTGGGCAAGCTGCAGAGTCCCAGGGCATCCCTGGAAGAAGGGAAAGGTAAGTCACTTCTGAGTACTCAGTACCTAGGAAACCTTGGAAAGAGTCGCGGTAAGTCAAAATTGACCTGATGGCAATATCACCCTCATACCTTAATTGGCATAATAGAATAAAATAGTAAATTGAGAATCAATAAATAAAATCCAGCTGGTCAAAGTTTATGGAAAATCTATCTATCTATCTATCTATCTATCTATCTATCTATCTATCTATCTATCTATCTATCTATCTATCTATCTATCTATCAACGTATATGCCGCCCACTCTACCCAAAGGTCTCTGGGCAGCTTACAACATTTAAAATACATTAAAAGATAAAACGATTAAAATGCAATTAAAATATGCACCCACAAGCACAAGTACATGCTCATGAAATGTATAGAGCTGTGCAAATCCTGGCTTAGAATTTAACATCCGCTATGATACATAAACAAATGCAAAACCAATGAACAAATAAGGCCAACAATTATTATTATTGATCAAGTCAAGCCTCAACTCACTACAGGCTAAAGTGAAGCTATTGTACTTTAGATATGCTGTGAGAAGACAAGATTATTGAAAAAGACCGCCATGACACTAGGAAAATAGGAAGACCTAACATTTATTTATTTTATTTTATTTATATGCCGCCCACTCTACCCAAAGGTCTCTGGGCGGCTTACAACAATTAAAATTTAATTGAAATACAATAAAAGATAAAATGAGTACAATTAAAATTGCCATCAGGACCCACAGTTGATGTTACTTCAATTAAAAGCCTTCTGGAACAGGAAGGTTTTGACCTGGTGCCGAAATGTCATCAACATCAGCGCCACGAATCTCAGTTGGGAGGGCATTCCATAGTCTGGGGGCAGCTGCCGAAAAGGCCCTTTGTCTACAAGCCCTCCCTCTTACTTCCTTGAGGGACAGCTCTTTCAAAAGGGCCCCCTGGCTAGATCTTAACTGCCGGGTAGGCTCATATGGAAAGAGGCGGTCCTTCAGGTATCCAGGGCCCAAGCTGTTTAGGGCTTTATATGTCAAAACAAGCACTTTGAATTGGGCCCAGGCAGCAACTGGTAGCCAATGTAACTTAAACAGAATTGGCTTGATGTGTTCTCTAGCGGCCCCACCCCTCACCAGCCGCACAGCTTGATTCTGAATCAGTTGCATTTGCCGGAACGTCTTCAAAGGCAGCCCCACGTAGAGTGCATTGCAATAATCTATACGAGGTGTTACCAGTGCTTGTGTAACTGTCATGATACTCCGCTCGTCCAGGTAGGGCCGTAGCTGGTATAATTTCCACAGCTGAAGGAAGGCGCCTCTGGCCACCAAGTCCACCTGGGCTTACAGAGTTAGACTGGAGTCCAGGAGCACCCCCAGACTGCGGACCCTGTCCCTTAGGGGGAGTGTAACTCCATTCAGGGCAGGGAAATGGCCCTCCAACCTGTCCGGTGAAGCACTAAGAGCACTTCCGTCTTGTCTGGATTGAGTTTCAATTTATTAACCCTCATCCAGTCCGTTATCAGTTCCAGAAACGAGTTCAGCACAGAAACTGCCTCACCTGGGTTGGTGGAAAATGAGAGGTAGAGCTGAGTGTCGTCAGCATATTGCTGACTCCTCAGCCCAGACCTCCTGATGACCTCTCCCAGCGGTTTCATGTAGATGTTAAACAGTTAAACATGAGAGGGATTGATGCAGTTTTTTAAAAAAACCAAACAAACTATGGCTTTTAGTTTTCAAGAACTGGGCATGGTTTTTATAATAGGATGTTTTGGAAGTCATTCATAGGATTGCAATAAGTTGGGAATGACTTGATGGCACATAAGGTCAACAAGAGATGCTGATCTTATAGGGGCAGAGACTTCTTTCGAAAATGGTGCAGTAATAACTAGAGGCCAACATGGATTTGTCAAGAATGAATCCTGCCAGACAAATATGATCTCATTTTTTGATTGGGTAACCTCTCTGATAGATAGAACAGTATATCATGTCTTCAGCAAAGCTTTTGACAAAATGCCTCTTAATATTCTGATTAGTAAGCTAATTAGGTGTGGTGTTGGATAAAACTACTGCCAGGTAGATACACAGTTGGCTATGGAATTGTACACAGAGAGTGACGATTAATGGCTCCTCCTCAAACTGGGAGAAGGTGACAGGTGGGCTACCCCAGGGCTCAGTCCTGGTCCCAAGGCTCTTCCACATTTTTATTAATGAGCTGGATCATGGAGTGCAGAGAATGCTAATCAAATCAGCGGATGGCACAAAATTGGATGGAATAGCTAATACCCTGGAAGACAGAAACACTCAAAATAATCTAGATAACCTTGAGCTGAAAACAATAGAATGAAATTCAACAGAGATAAGTGCAAAGTACAGCACCTAAGGGAAAAAAACCAAACATCAAGAAGGATCTTGGAGCTGTAGATCATAAGCTGAAGATGAGCCAACAGTGTGATGTGGCTACCCAAAAGGCAAATTTTAGGCTGCAGAGGTACAGTCTCCAAATTGTGCAAGGTACTAGTGCCCCTCTATTCAACACTGGTTAGGCCTTATCTTGAGTACTGTGTCCACTTCAAGAAGGCAGACAAATTTGCAGACAAGTTGGAACAAGTTCAGAGAAGGGCAACAAGGATGATCAGGGAAATCAAGCGCTAAGAGGAAAGACTGAAATAAATTGACATATTTAGCCTTGGGAAAAGAAGACTGAAGGAAGATATGATAGCACTTTTCAAATACATACAGAGGAAGGGCAGGATCTGTTCTTGAACATCCCCAAGTACAACAGTGGGCTAAAGTTACAGGAAGCCAGATTTCAGTTGAATATCAGGAGAAACTTCATATTACAACAGTACGGCAATGAAACCAATGACCACGAGTGATGGTGAGTGCTCCAACATTGGAGGCATTCAAGAGAAATTTAGACAACCACCTGGCAGACATCCTTTGATTTGTATTCCTGCACTGAGCAGGGGGCCGGACTCGATGGCCTTATAGGCTGCTTCCAACTTCATGATTCTAGGATTTTATGAAAGAAGAAATAGAGATCTAATTAAACCTCTCTGTGTATTGATTATAAATTA